TGTGTGTGTGTGTGTATGTGCATCTGTCTGTCTGTGGCCCCGGGTGCGTGCGTGCGTGTGTCCTCCTTGCTGCGTGCTGCGCATGGTCTTCGGATCGACTGCGTGTGCGCCCTCAAGGAGGGGCGCGCGCATGGCCCGGGGTTTTAAGACACCTTTGCCATGCACGCGCGCCATGGCGGCCAGCCTCTTGCAAAAAAAAAAAAGAACAAGAAAAAACAAGAGCTAAGGCTGCGCCACAGATGAGAAGAGCGACCCGAGGGACAGACATGTGACGAGAGGCAGACCCCCCCCACCCCCGGGAGGGGGGAGCGCGGCGATGCCCATGTGTGAAAGAGCGTGTCGGCAAGAAGGTACCCGCATTTGGGCAGAGGGCGGAGGCCTCCTCTCCCCGTGAGTTGGGGAGAAGCGCCACGGACGTGCCCGCGCGCATGCGCGCAATACGAGAGGCAAACATACACATCGGGTGCAGTAGGAGGACGAGTGGGGAAGAAGATGTGCCCGTGCGTGCGCGGTACACGCGCACACATCTCATGCACCCTTTACACACATCGTCTGCCGCATATCGACCCCGCAGCCACCCGGGGGAGGGGGGCAGAAGCACACGCACGCACGCGCCCCTCTCACACTCCCTTTCCTTCGGCATCGGAGAGGGGGGGATCTCCCCTCAGTTTGATCCCCTCCGCCGCCGCCGTCGCCGCCTCTCTTTCTCTCTTTCTCCCGCCACGCGTTGCCCCATTTCGCATCTCTCTCCCTCTCCCTCTCTCCCTCCCCTCCTCCCTGCTGCGCACACGCGCGAAGAGCCGGAGAAGCAAAGACATGCGCCAATATGTTCTCCCTCGAAAATGAAAAAAAAAATATACATAAAATGCCTGCAAAGCACTGTGTGCGAGCCTGCGTGCTGTGCGGGGGGGGGTATAATGGTGCCTTGGGGGTGTGTAGGAATCACGGCCAGAGCCGGAGCGGGAGGCGCCGCGGACCCGCCACACACCCACCCCAAAAGCGCAAGGAAAGAGACCGGCAGGCAGGGCGCCGAAAGGCGACCCCGAGGGAGGGAGACCCGCACATGAGCCACCGGCGTTAGCCGCGCGCAGCTGCCGCTGGTTGGCCCCTCCGTCGGCACTTCGGAGGGGCCTCGTTATTATTTGAAATGTCTCTCCGGCCCGTGGTCTGGGACGCCCCCCCCGGGAGGGAGACCGACAACAAAAGCCACGTCCATCCTTTCCCGCCAGATCTAATTCGGGCAGTGTCATCCCCCCCCCCCCCCTCCTCCCCCCACCCGCACGCATACATCCCGATTTTCATCACTCGCCTCCTCGTCTCTCTCGCATGCACTTCTCTGCTGCCCCACGCCCTGTCAATGGTGCGGCATGCCTGCCGGGCCACCCTGTCCCTGCCTGTGTGCTCTCCCCCCCCTGCCGCTCCCCTCCCGCCCCGCATGCTGCCGCTCCCCCTTACCATGTCTTCCTCCTGTGCCTCCCCTGCCCAGCTTCCTGTTAGCGATCGGTACGAGGCCCCACGCCTCGGACCACCGAGCCTGCCACTGCCACTCGGCCCAACGCCATCGACTCCTCGCAAGCGCGCCCTCCATTCGGAGGCTGACAGCCCCTCGGTGGCAGCCTCGTCGCTGTCCCCCAGCAGGGAGCGCAAGCGCCCCCGGCCAGCCGGGACCCCTTCGCGGTCGTGGCAGCTGGCCGATCCTCTGTCGCTGCCGTCATCGCCGTTGTCACCGTCGCCGCCGCCGCCGTCGCCGCCGCCGCCGTCGCCACCGCCACCGCTGCAGCAGCGACAGCAGGCACAGGCGGCCGGCCGGCAGTTGGCCGCGCCCTCGCCAAGGCGCCGCGGGTCCTGGTCTTCCGAGTCGGAGGACAGCCTCGATGAGGATGCCTTTTTCGACGCGCGCGATGGGACCCGCGGCGGGCGCACGCCCCCCCGGGCTGCGGCCGCAGGCCCGGTGGACCTGGCCTCCTCGCTGCCGGCATGGCTGCGCTCGGCCCACTATGCGGATGTCCGTCGGGCCGATCGGTTCTTGGTGCCGGGGCGAGTGCGCTTCCCGGGGCCGACCGGCCGATCGCTGTATCCGGCCATTCCCTTTTGGCTTCCGGAGCCCTGTGTGTCGGCGGTTGTGGCCCGCATCCAAGCGCGGGCCGCCGGCGCGGGCTGCGTGCCTGCCGACGGCCCGGGGACCCCGCGCACGGCGGCAAGCGCCCCGGCGGCCGAGTGTCGCACCCCGCCGTCGGCCGTGCCGGACATCCGGTCACCGGGCTTCTCGGCCCCCCTGCACCCGGGCGACCAGCTGGTGATGACCGGTGCGCCGCGCGTGCTGCAATCCTATGCTTGACTCCATTTCTCTCTTTCTCTCTCTCTCGTCCCCTCCCATCACCCGGGTCCTGATCCTCTCCCCCTGCTCCTCCTCCGGCCATTCTCCGCCGACCCGCCATCTCCCCAGAGGATGAGGTCGCCGCCTGGACGGACCGGCGGTCGCGGCGCCGGGGCTTGCCCCGGGGGCCCGGGCTCCGGGGCTCGGAGCCCATGGCCACCGCTCCGGCCGAGGGGTACCCCTGGACGCCGAGCTCAAGGGCATCCGGCGCGCGCCGGCCCACCCTGTCACGCGCACCCTCCATGGATGCGCTGTCCTCGGCCGGCGAGGGGCAATTGCTGGTGGCGGTGGACCGGTCGATTTCACAGTGGCTTGATCGGGAGCCCGAGCCGCCGGTGGTGGCCTCCCCCGGGCGTCGGCAGGGGCCAGACACCCTGGGACAGGGCCCGACTCGGACTCCCATCCGGCCGGGCGACGCCAGGCCCGTCGGTGCCTCCGGGCAGGAAAGCCCCATTTGTGCGTGGCCATCGGCCTGGGTCTGGCCTCTCTCTCTCTTTATCTCTGTCTCTCTCTCCCTCTTTATCTCTGTCTCTCTCTCTCTCTTTCTCTCTCTCTCTCTTTCTCTCTCTTTCTCTCCCTCTCTCCCTCGCGTTTGCATGTGACTAACCTGCTGGCATCGTCGGTGGGGCGTGGGAAATGCGCCTGACAGTCCGCGATCTGCCCCCGGAGGAGGTGTTCCCCGGGTCGAGGGCGCTGCTGCTGCAGGGGACGCCGCCCCCCTGGTGCCGGCCGTCGAAATCGGCCAATGACTCTGGCCCCGAGGCGCCATCCCCCTGGGGAGGGACCACCACCCCGGGGCCTGTGCCGACCATCGGCGGGGGGGCCTCCCTGGCCCTGTGTCCAGCGGAGGCGACCCCGGCCATGGCGGCCAGCCCGCCGCCGGATGAGGAGTACTTCGAGCGCCGGATGCAGGGGCTCCGGCCAAGTTGGTGGCAGCCAGCACCGGGCAAGCTGTCGGCCGGGGGTGGCCCCTCGTCGCTGCTCTTCCCGGCGGCCGAGGAGGATCCCGCCGAGGGGCCGGCCTCCGCGAGGGCGGCCCTCTTCCCCGGCCATGTCTCGACCGTGGCCCCGGCCCCGGCCCCGGCTCCGGCTGCGGCCGGCGATGTGGTGACTCCCCTCCCTGGCGAGCGGTCCCGGGCCACCGGGGCCGCCACATCGCGCTGGACCGGCGGGGGCGAGGTAGCCGAGCCGGCGGCGCCCGGCAGCCGGACAGCCCCCCGCCGCCGAGGGGCCACCCCCTGGAGCCGGCCCTCCTGGGAGTGCTCACCGAGCCTTAACTGATCCGAGCGGGCCAATAGCAACCGCGTGTGTGTGATGTGAACACGTGCATCGCGTTCTGATGCGGTATGGACCCGGCCGCCGGTGCTCCTGTCGCGGGTGTGTGCCGGCCCCGCCCTGCCGGGGGAGGGAGGGGGGGGGGGAGCAGGCTTTTCTCGGTCGGGCGGGGCGCAGGGGCCAGGTCACCCTTGACTTGGCCGGCGTTGGTGTTTTGGGCGGGAAGGCTGGCGTTTGTCTCGGAGGGCGGTGTCTTTTTCCGGGACGCGTGGGCGGGGGGCCTCCCTCGCGTTTTTGCGCGCCCGGGAGCGGGCGGCCCTATCGCGCCTTTCCCCCGCCTGAAGCTCGCCATGAGAGGACGGGGGGGGGCGGCCAGGCGGCGAGGGCTGGTCCACCGCGG